TTCCACGAAGCTGAAAAATGGCTCTTGCATAAATCCTCAATCTTCAGTGAGTTTAAAATTACATCTGACCTAACACCTTCCTCAACTGTGTTGCCAGAAAATGTGATTTATTTCAGGTTTTAGATTTAGTTAATGATATGTTTATTCTGATTAATAATAGTATCGATTTCAGTTAAATTTGCTTTTTTACATTTTTTGATTTTTTTTTTTCCTTTTAATAAAGAATCTAGCCAAAGTAATTTGAGCACGTCCGAATCTCTGCAGGAGAGCACTGCAGGAGGTTTTTCACAGCCTGCTGCTCATGTAGCACAGAGCCACACTTTTAGTGCATTTAAATCCAATTCAAATCTGTTCATTTCATGTGATTTAATGGTAAAGAAGCCTGCCTAGGTTTAGCTTGGTAGCTGGAGTGTGTAAATCAAAGATGGGCACTGGAAAGCACAAGCAGAGGACAGCTTAGATTTTATTTTCCTTTCTGACATTTTAACAGCATCTTTTGGGTTAACTCTGTGACTGGAGCGTGGTTACAAGGAAGGTGTTTAGGCCAAGGTTTAGGCCAGACACAGCGAGGTTTAAGATTCCCAAAAGGTCATGGAAGTTGTCAGTGATGATCTGCAGGGGTTCCTTCAATCTTCAGCCTCTCGGGATCTGTGAAACCCCGACTCTGGACACACAGAGAGCTCTGAGAGCCTTGAGGAGTCAGCGTGTGCACCATTTACAGTGGGCAGGAGAAGGGAAAAGCCCTTTAGTGGGGTCACCACTGTCCCTTTGCCATTTCCCTCATAGCCTGGCCCACAGTTCATGACATGTCAGAATCTTACATTTGGTCTCAATAAATGTGTGATGAAGCATTTATACCTTTTTTTTTTCCCCCCCTTTGATATGAAATCCTCTGGTTGCCTTTTAATCCTTACCTGCAATGGAAATTAATTAAGGTAACCCAAATAATGGTCCCTTGTGCTGTTAGGCCAGGCTTTGTCACAAGGACCAGGAGTTACTGCCCTGTCCCAAGTTGTGTTTAGAGGCTGGAGCAGCAGATTTTAGGCAGTGCTTTTATATCTGAGTCAAAAATAGAATCCAAACCTCTGTATTCACCTGCACCTCTTAATTGACACTTCTAATCAATCCACATTGTTTTTCAGTATCTGAAAAAAAAAGGTGAATCACAAAATAACAGAATGGTTTGGGTTGGAAGAGTCCCTAAAGATCAACTCATTCCAAACCCCTGCCATGGGTAGGGATGCCACACACCAGACCAGGATGCTCCAGGCCCCATCCAACCTGGCCTTGCAAAATGAAAGCCCACAACTGCTCCAACAGCATTCTCCCAATGGCTTTAGTACCACAAATATTTTAAAATTTAAAAAACCAAACCAAAACAAAACAAAAAAAACCAATCCCATCACAATCTTGGAAGTCACATCAAAATGATCTTTACAAAATCAAATGTCAGTATAGTGACAGAGCATTCCTATAATATACTTTAGAGAATTGCTGTTATTGTTTTCATGTCACATGGCATAGGAATTAGAGACACAGCTGTGCAAGGCTGGGAATGTACAGGTATACATATATATCTATAGATATAGATATATAGATATATATATAGATATATAGATATATAGATATATAGATATATAGATATATAGATATATAGATATATAGATATATAGATATATAGATATAGATAAATATGGTTTTTGCCCTCCCCAAAGCTTATAAGCCAGGCCAGCCTGGGAGCAGGAATACCTTTGTTAACTCATGGCTAAAAAGCAGAAAAATTGCTGTGTGTCCTCAGTAATGAGCGTGGAGTGTGGTTCAGCTGGAGAATTGCTGTGCTACAATAAGGTTCCCTTTCTGCTCTTTCTGGTGCCATATGCTGCTGTAATTAGTGCAGGCAAAAGGTAATGAGAGCACAGTGGAGAAGAGGGAGCTCCATGGGAAGCAGGTTGATCTTTAAAACTCTGCATTATGTCATCCCTATGTAGAGCACAATACAGTTTTGATCCAGATTTTTAATGTTGCACTTATATTTTGGGAAGTTTTTTTATCTTTCTCTGAGAAGCACCACTGCTTCCCCGGGTGTGGAGATTTGTGCTGTAATTGCTGCACCAGTCTCTCCCAAAAACCTGTGAACCTTTTCCCAGGGATAGTTGCTCTTGATTTTTCAACCAGCCTTGATGTAATGACTTTAATAAATTTTAAATTATTTCCATATATCTGCTACTCTATTTTAGTTCTGCACCAAGTGCAAATTTTGATTTGTGTTCTGTTCTGCATCCATAACCTGTCTGTGTCTCTCTGGAGCTCTGTGTTTAAGGTGTGCACTCAAACATTGGAGCAGACAATTTCCAGTCTAAGGGAGTTGTTTTTGCTGCTCTCTTTGCAATACCTGGCTCAGACATGAACCCAATGCAAGGAGGTCACAGTCAGAAGATGTTACACCCACTTTCCCTTCCCTCTTGTCTCATAAGCCCTTGGGAACTGTGAGCTGTTGGCACAGTTTAAAATTAGAAAAAAAAAAAAAAAAACAATGAAACAAACTCCATGAGCAGCACTAAATTGCATTGCTGCCAAGTAGAATAAGACCAAAGTAAAGAGTAATTGGCACACCAGAGAGCACAGCTCTGTGTACATCTGATAAATCACTGTGCTCAGGACTGAACATACAGGAGGTACATGTAGGAAAGTTCATGTCTGAACACCTAGAAATTTTTAAAAGCTGCTGTGCAATCCACAGATCCCACCGAAGTCTAAAGTGGGAAGTGAATCTTTGCAGTCAAAACTTCTATTTTTATCATAGTTTTTATGATGGCTCTATTCTAAACCTTTGCTAGCAGAGCCCTCAAAAAATGGAACAAAACCCAATAATCTTAACTGTACTGCAATATGCTCTCACAATAAGTAAAAAATGTGGTAGAAAAGACAAAGTACTACTTTTACAATATCCTGTGCCAAATCACAGGTTATACAATCCAGGTTTTTATTTGCACAGCCCACAGTGCTTTGTAGAGCAATCAGGGAAGATAATACAATCCATTTTACATTCTCATTACTTTAGAAGTGTTGAATCTTCTGAAATGGTTTCGGGGTTAATTGAGAATTTGCAGTTTTACAATAGACTAGGAATTGTTTAGGCTGCCCTTGTTTCATATTTTTGTGCATACCTTTGTTGCAAAGTTATAAAAACAACAATAAAAGAAGAAACAAAGAAGTGAAATGAAATAATGATCGGTATTGTTGCCATTTCAGGCACTCATTTTTGTGGGAGATAAAGCTGAGGTATTGATTAATGTTTAAATGGCTGTTCAGAGGAAGGACATGTTGGGTTGATGGAACATCTCACTGTGCACTAATGCTTTCCTTTGGTTCTTTTCCACATCTTCCCTAAGGGATAATTTCTGCTACTGGGGAAGCCAGTGGTGAAACTCTGAGTTGCTTTTCTGCCAGCATAAATAAGCCAACTATCTTCCCTATTTATCTCTTTTTCTGCATAAATTCCGAAAGTTTCTCTTTTCCAGATCTGCTCTTTAACTCATTTTAACATCAGCTCATAAAGATGTGTCATTTTTCCTGGCTGTAAATGCTGAAGTTTTGATGCTCACTCTGCCTGCCTGAATGTTCCTGTGCACACAGCCAGGCTCAGCAGCCCCAGGAAGTTTCATTTTTCAAGCCTGAAGCAAAGTTGTGGTAAAAAGCAGCAGCCTGGGCAGGGGTATCTGTCAGCACTTCATTAGAGGCTGGCTTTTTTTTTTTTTTTTTCATTTTACCTTTTTTTTTATCCCCCCCAACAATGTGTTATTTTTGTTTATTCCCTCATACTTGCACTGATACATTTTTATTTTGTTTTTGGCAGTAATATCACACAGGACTTTCAGGTGAATTCACTTTCAGGTGAATGCCACTGTGAGGCACTGCCTTGTCACAGACTCATTAAATAATAACAGCTTCCATGTCAATTACTGGTAATTTAAAATGTCTATAAAAGGTTGTATGGTGGTTTATGACCTATAACAATTCACTACAAAAAAGATAAACAGGTTATTATCCCAGGTATTGATTAGATGATTGGAGTTTTGGTTTAAAATATTAACACATTTAATTGGAGAGGGAATTGGTATCAGTTAATTCAGCTCTGGCTGTTCTATTACTAAATATATTTAACTGAATATAGAATTAGCCCTAATCACGAACATTCTTATATTTATTGCTTCAGTCAAGCAGGGAAGTTCCTGGTGTGTAAACTCCACAATCTCTCTAAACATTTCCAGTTTTGGGGGCTGAATATTTGTGTCAATTAATGGAAAGAGAGCACAACAGGGAATTTAATTTGGGGGGATTTTGGAGGCAGCATTTCCAAACTCTGCTTGAGTCAACATGGATGTGGTTGAATTTAATCAGCAGAAGGAGGAAGCTCCAGATCCTAAAGTGTAGAATAAATGTGTGCAGACAGGGCTGGGTGCAACCACCTCCCCACAGACCTGGTGAATTCATTGTCTGACTCTTTTTTGCTACCATTCTCCACAATTTAGCACATTTCCAGCTCACCCAAAATAACTAATGGTAAAGAAAACAAAATTTAAAACACTCAAATGTGAATTAAAAATACGACTTCTCGTCCAACTGGAATTTTGAGTCTGGAAAAAGGAGGATTGTGATAGGATTCCTGAGGTCAATGTGGATGCAGGGGCCTCTTGGAAGTGTTCTGGCTCTATAATACAGCAGTAGGAAAATACTGATTTCTCTGCTAGACTTTGGTACATGTATATATATATATATATCCAAAGGAATTGACTCAAACCTCTCTCTATATTTCCCTCTGCCAGCTAAGCCTAAAAACACTGACCTGTCTCTAAGGGAAAGCAAATTAAATTGTATTTTTGAAATATTAAGAGATCCACTCATGAAAGCCACTGAATCCAAAGACAAAATCCTTTGCAGCAATGCCATTGCTCTATGTTCAAAAAAAATTTGATAACAACTTCTGCACTTCTGTCCAGGTATTCAGTGTACAAGGACCCAGCAGGGTGGCTGGAAATCAACCCCACCAATGGCACTGTTGGCACCACGGCAGTGCTGGACAGGGAATCTCCTTTTGTGCAGAACAACATCTACACTGCTCTGTTCCTGGCCATCGACAGTGGTGAGTAACCAGCAGCACCAAATCCTTTCATTTCCTGCTTGAAATGCTCTGCTCTGAAAGCTGCACGTGTAAAATTACCCATTACTTCCCTGTGTGGCCACCTAAATGTGTTAGAGGCCATTCTGGGAAATAGAAGAAAGAGGAATTAACTTTAAAATGATGCAGATTTATCCGTTATCATGATGATATACTGGAAACTTGAGGAGACAATTTATGCTCTGTTTCTTATTTGAATGTTATGACCCCCTTTATGCAAACTCAACTTTTACTCCTGGATTTTGGTTGTGGTGGAGGTTTTCAATCTTAAAACTTGAAATTTAGAGCAGTTTAAATTTAGGTTTATACTTCACTCGTTTATTCCTGCATTGATGTCTTAATGCTAGGTGCAATTAGTCTAGAAACATTCTTGGAAATGTAATAAATCATCCTAATCAGAGTTAATTTCTTCACAATATTTGAGCAGTCAGCGTGCCTGAGGCACTAAATACCAGTAATAACTCATCCTTGATATACTGGATTATAATCTATTCAATACAATGACAGTGACAATAGAAACATAACTAAACTCCTGGTTAAAATGCAACAATATTTTTGCATATTGTGTTACTAAAGTTCCTTCTGTCAAATAGAATCCAAATTAAGCTATCTAGGGAAAATGCAGCAAGTGACTTTGGAGCAGAGGAAGAAAAGAAAATCCTGAGCATTCCAAATCTCTCGAGCTAAAGGCACAAAATAAATAAAAGATTTGCCTGTAATATAACAGCTAATATGCTAACACTTTTACACAGCTGCAGCTGGTACAGCCCTGGTGATGAATTGTAAAATGCTCTTTTTAAGAGAGTAATTCTACATTTTTGTAAGCACATGACTCAGGGAACATTTGCAGGGCCTGACAGGAGAAAGAAAATATCGTCTTAAGTATAACAGAAAAAAACCCCTGCTGAGATTATGATTTACTTATATATTAATATACATATTTTCCTTAGGAAATTTCTGGGGGAAAAATGTAGCACTAAACATATTTCTGTCTTTTGCTTGCTACTGGATTTTTTTTCTTTTTAATGCGTCTTAAAATCAGGTGCACTGGGAAATGTCATCTCACAATGAAAGTAAAAATTTGGGATATTACTGAGGGGTTACCCAAAGGACAAAGCTGTGTTTTAAAGGTGAAGTCAGATATTGTCAAGGAGAATAGATGGAGAAAGGAGATGAGTGTTTTTGACTGTGGGAACCAGCCTGAGTAATGTGGATTTTGGGGAACACCTTTATACCCCAATTTGGGCCTTGCTCATTTATTCTAAGCCCAGAAGTTCACTGCTTTTAATATTCAGATTTTTTTTTTTTCCCCCCAGTCTGTAAAAATGAGAGAAGGGGAAGCTGTGCTGAACAGCAGAGCTAGAGAGAAAAGGAATCCTTTTCACTTGGGGTTCTGAGCCAGCACCTGATGCCAGCCCCTGTAATTGTGTTTATTTGTGATTGTGCAGCTCTGTCAGTGCAGAGTTCATCTCCTCCAACATTATTGACTCCTGTGAATGCAATGATTACAAACCACTCGTGTGCACCCAGGACTGTCATGCTAAGGTGTTAATAATGATCATTTCAGAGCACTGCTCTCCTGCCATGTGTGGGAGTGGGAATAAACAGCAGAACTTAATTAGCTGATATTAACCTTGTGCCCTGCATCACCTCTGCATTAATTACCAGGCAGCTTGGGGAGCACATTCAACTTGGACATGGGCTGGGAAGTGGGAAAATGTTCTGCTGGCCTGGATGAATGACTCTGTGCCTTAGCAGCCAAGGAAGTTCTGGAGTTGATCTCAACAGGTTGGGGGTCTGCAGGGACAGCTGGGACTGACAGGGTCCCTGGGAATTGTTCCCAAATTTGTTTCCAGGCCACTGACAATGTGAACTAGCGCAGCTGGGAGACACACTTTATCTCTCCAGCCATCAGAGCTAATGTCCAGCTTGAAATATTGCATTAGATGAGAAGCCAGATTGTGGGAGAATGATATGAAATGAATACAGAATTATTTCAGGACTCTAAAAGAAGGTTATGTTAACTTAAAAAGGGGAGAAAATCAGATTGAACATAACTATCTGCATCTCCTAAGAGCAGCATTGTCCACAGACTGCAGATCCCTCTCTTCAGGTTAATAAGTGGGGCCTGTCTAATAGCAGTGAATATCCAGGGACTGCTCAGTCAGAGGGCATCCAAAGGCAGGATTAAGAATTGCCAAATGAAATAGGGTAATAAAGTGAAAATTTAGAGGCATTTCCAATAGAGCAAGTCATTTGCTTGGGCTAACTGACTTCTGGTGAAAAGAGAGGAGAGGGGAAAAAAAAGAAATACTTTAGATGAAATTATTTTTTCAAAAGTGTTCAGTGGAGGTTTTTATTTCCTTTGGCCTCTCAGCTTATCTCTGAGTCAAATCTGAGAAGTGCTGGCACAGGCACTGAGGAAGTCTGAGCTGCCACAGGCTTTCCTTTCCTTTCCTGGGAATACAGAGAGCTCAGGCAATGCCCAGGGCACAGCCCAGCAGTGGGAATTGGAGCCCAGAGCAGGCACTGCAAGGCCTATGACAATCTTTAACAGAATTTATAGTGAATAATTCTGAAATCATATAAAGCCTTGTGCCTTAGTCATTGCCAAAGTGCATGAGACATATTCTAAAACATAAATACAGATATTATTTGGTGTTCATAGCATGAGAGTTTACATGCTTACAGAAAAGGTTCTGCTGTCCCATTGTGTTCCATGCTCACCTCTTTATAAAATGCCCTTACATTCGAGTGCTGTCCTGGCTGAGGAGTGGAGGCAGCTGAAAACAAACTCCACAGTGATCCTTTTCCCATCCCCTTTTGCTGGTGTCAGTAGAGAATCTGTCATCAGTTCCAGCAGGCACTGACTCCTTGTTATTACACTTCAGGGCAGGGGGCAAGTGCCAGGGCATTTTTTTTTTTAAATCTGTAAAGTGTTGGATATTTCTGTCACAAGTAAAACCTGGAGCTTTGTACTTGGTAGCTCTTTGTATAATTCCATCACATCTTTATCTTTTTTTGGGATATCACAAAACTGTTCTTTACCAGTAGGACAGGAACAATGAAAGGGGCATAGAAAATGGAATTACTCCACTGCAGGAAATAACTTAGCTCTTTATGAGATTCTCTTTGACCTTTATGATATTATTTCTCAGCATTATCAAATTAACTGCAGCTAAAGGTGCTAAAGTATGAATTATGTTATTCCTGATCTAAACAGTTCCTGTATCTTCCCAAACACACTTGAAACAATGTGTAACAGCAAATTTGATGGAAACGGTGTAAATTCATAGATAACAAATTTTGACCTTTATGGGGGTGCATTACACTTTAAAAAAAAGACTTTTTGGAAGAAATATCCTAATTTTCTCAGTACATTTGATTTCAGTAAAAGGTCAGTGTAGTGTCTTTGGAATTTGAAAACTTTTTATTAAAGACCTGTGTGAACATAGAGTCTCTGGCCTATTAAAGAAGAAATTAAACACTGGTAGGAAATACCATGCAGCAGAGTTAACACATTAAAGTGTCATGAACTGTGTTTAATCTGAGAATGAGCTGATAATGGGGCAAAGTCAGGTTTATGCAAACTTGGGAGACATCAGAGGTTTCATTCAATTAACAAAAGTGCCAACAGTGGTGATCATTTTATTTCCTGGATTTAGCACTCTAATCACTGAACCCAATGCAGTGTCACAGCATGACTGGGAGCTTTTCTGCCAAAAACACCTGTGTGAAACACAGAGGAGAAATCATTTGGGTTTGAGAAACCTGTGTGGAACAGACCTTCCAAACGTGCTCCGTGGTGTCATCCTGCAGATTCTATTATTATATCATTCTGCAGCTCAGACTTCCTCAGTGCCTGTGCCAGCACTTCTCAGATTTGACTCAGAAATAAGCTGAGAGGCCAAAGGAAATAAAAACCATCCTGCAGAATCAGATTATCCACTGGAGATTTGGGATGAGGATCACAAAGCAGAACACCTGTATGATTTTTCTCATTCAGCCATGCTAGAAACTCTCCAGGAAAGGTCTTTTTTTTCCCCTGTATTCTGAGAGTTTGAGTCACAATCTAGAAAAAGTAAGAGAAGAGGAAACCATGGCTGGAGGTAAAACTAAAAAACACCTGGGAAATGTGTGGAATCTTCAAAATATGAAATTAGTTTCTCCATTTCCTTTTAGAGGCATGAAAAAAAATATCCCCCGATTTACTTATTTATGCAATAATCACTTTTTTGTGGAATTAATATTCCATTGTGTAGGCTTTTTCTATCTCTTTAAAAACAAAGTCTTTGGTTATTTTCGGTTGTTTGACTCATGGAAAACCCCCCTATGCTGTCCAAGGCTGTCACCTGGTGACAAATAATGACACACTAATCTTGCTGTTTGGGTTAAATGCAAACTGAAGCTGGATTCCACTTTTCTCAAGCAAACCCCAATGGGGTCCCACCTAAAGGAAGGGAGAAATATTCTCCCAGTGAGAGTCTGACCCAGTGTGAGAATTCCACCTTCCTTCCCTGCCTTTCCCATCACCAGGGAGCTACTGAGACAAAAATTGGGAATATAAGAAGTTCTGCTGCATTAGACAAAGAGAATAAACTCATTAAAGGTAATTTTAGTTATGAGTTCAGGGTTTGCCTTGAGCTACACTGGCCAGGTTAAGAAAAAAGCAGCTTGGACCTTGCTTTTGTGGCTGTGGCCAGTTGCACCTGTGAGCTGTGGCACTGGTTCATTTTTCCTGAGCAAAATAAAGAAATAGGGTCTAGTTTTCAATTTTTCCCGTGTTTTCAAGGAGCAGCTGAACCCAAGCAATCCCAAATCCCATTTATTGCGCAGGTCTTGGCACTGCTAATCATTAGAAAGAAAACTTATTATTCTGCACTCTGTGTGATGAGCAGCAATACACAACACCCAGAAAAAGCTGCAGTGACAAAGAGATGTGTGGCAGTTTGCAATTAGAACTTTTCCTTACGTGTATCTAACCTGTCTTCTCGCTCCATGCTGTACGTAATTAAATTACCATAGATTGATTCCACCTAAAACACGCTATTTTGGAAGAAATCAGGCAATTAGTTACCATGGCAACCCAATTAAGCCAGTTTTATACCCCTTATCTTAATTGCTGTATTAATTGAGAGGAGAAAATAAATTGAAGACTCATCCTTTTCTTGCCATTTTAAATTTCAGTAAAATATGAATTGCACACAAAATATTGTTTTAATTTGTCATCATGGACTCATGATTCGAAAAAGAAATTAGAATGCTGAAAACAGTATTTAAGACGGATGGCATGTGTCAGTAGCAATTTGATATGCTGAAAGAGCTGTGCTCTTTTGAAATGTAATTACTCAAAACCAGGAGCTGCATATATTATCTGAGGGGATGGATGAATGAAGGGTTGTAACTTTGGAAGATTATTTATTTTATATATTTTTGCAAAGCATCTATATGTTAATATAGATGGAAAATGCCTAGGAAATTTGAATTCGTGGGGAATTAGGGACAAAATGTCAGCATATGGCTTTGAGGAGAGCAGTTCTGTGAGCAGCACAGCAGATTTTGGTGTCTTCCCCTCTCCTGGTTCCATTTGCTTTGGCTGAACCATTGATGGAGTTCATCCTGAACACGCAGTGAAGTGGAACAGGGCTGTCTGCATGGGATCCCTGCCTGCAGGGAGGGGACTGCTGCCAAGGCACCGAGCACACACAGATTTCTGAGCAGAAAAACAGCATATGGAGGGGAAAAAAACCCAATGTGAGGGATGAGACAGGAATTTGTGTTTAGAGTCTCAGAGCAGCATCATTAGAAAGCATGGAAAGCTCTGTTCTCAGAGTCCTTGTTTGAAGAGCAGTGTGTAAATCATGTGACTTTACAGTAATAATTCTGATATTATTCTGTGCAGCTTTTCATTAAGATTCAAGCATTAAAAGTACACTAAGTGTCTTTTTCTATAACATTTATTTTCAAGCTAATTTTTTTCATCTGGAGGTAGCAACCTGGTCATTTATGCTTGCAGCATTAAAATCCAGTTTAAAATCCACATTTCCTGGTAACAGCCCCTTGCATTGGAGACTCAGTTCATGACCAAGTGTTCACTTTGTTTCAGTATGAAACTCTCCCTTTCAGCAGCTTTTACACAAACCAGTGATGCTGTTTCACTCCTACGATTGCCATGGTATATTCCCAGATGTGCCACTTCTGGGAGTTTGGAATTCTCCCTATCTCCAGTGCCTCTGAGGGCATCCAAACATTTAAAGTGTTCATCCTCAGGAGGGATGGCCAGTTCTGGTCAGTGGCAAGTGGCATCAGAGCTCTTTGGAAAAGCTGCTCCTGAGGATTGTTGGACCCTTTAGGTCTTGCTTTGCTCATTCATTCTGCTTTCAGCCACAAGGTTTGACAATACAAATTAAAGTTCTACTTCAGAATTAAAATATTCAATGGGTAACTTGCCTTTCAAAATCAAAAGTGTCTGGAGATCATGGGATTTTGAATTATTTCAACAGCATAATACCATCAAATTTATGAAAGTCATATATTCCCAATGGATGAGTTGTGACCATTTTTGCTTGATTCACCTCTTGTTACATTTTTATGACATGTGTGTTAACAAGCTCCATTTTATGACCCTGACATTTGCTTGTTTTCTTTTGGAGGTCTTCATAAATCAATGAAAGATTTTTTTTTTAAATCATTATAAATAAACCAAGCAGAGAATAAGTCGTTGAAATGGACAGAAGCAAGTTTATTCCTCTATTTTTTTTTTCCTGTGTGTGTAATACTTGCCCAGCCCCTGAACCATACAAAGAGTGAAACATTTGCATGGCAGGGAGAACATAGCCATATCTGCGTGTGGCAAAATAGCAGGACATCCATAATGCTGTTGGCTTCTTCATTTCAAAAGGCAGATTTTAATATTACTGACTTCAGAGAAAGATAAGAAGGGCAGTGCATAAGACATTATCAGTCCAGTGTGGAAATAATGCATTCAAAATTAAAGACAGCAGTTTAATTAAGTGCATGAAAGGCTGACTTTTATGATCATATTTCAAATACTAGAATGTCTTTTCATCCATTCTGCCGTATGACTTTACTTAATAATATATCAAGAACAAAAAACGTATTGGAGCCTTTCTGTAAATTCAATTAGTCCAATAAAAAGTGAAAAAGAGTTTCTATTTCATTAAAAAGAACTCAACCCTAACCCTTCTGATGACAAAGTGTGAGATGAGAAGGGAGGGCAAGGCTGGAGAAGGATGAACGTTCTGCCTTTGTGATGCATTTCTGCTCGCAGCAGACAGATGAAGCGTCACCATTAGTAACATTTGTTATTGAAAGGACTAATTGCATCCTGCTGCAGGCAGCAGTTTATCAGATCCACACCACGGGGTATTTGCTTCTGCCTTGGGATGCTCTGCCAGCACAGCAACAACTGGGTTTATTAAAATGTGCTCTGGATAACGTTGCTGTCAGTTCTTGGGCTCTGTGGGCAGGGTGGTTATGCTGGGGGGAGCCTCTGGCAGGGCTAAATGTAAATGCTGTGGCACCTTGTGCACAGGTTAAGTGCAGCCTCTTGAATCCATTCTGAGAAGGGTTTGTACTCAGGGAAGTGCAGGGATCACAGTTCCCTGTGCTAAACCAAAAAAAAAAAAAAAAAAAAAAAAAAGAGGAATAAGCAACCCACAAGTGCAGCATTTCAGATGAGAGACCTCGTTAAGTGCCAACCACAATAAAGGACAAAATGTGAATTGGGAAAATTTCGAGGTGATTTTAACGGGGTGCCAAAGGGAGCTGCTGTGCTTTGGGCTGGAGGCAGGGGGTGACTGGCTCAGCCATGGCACACGTCTGCAGTGCCTGCAAGTCATTACCCCTGCCAGCTCCTGGGTGACCCCTGTGAAATGAGGTGCTGGTCCCAGCCCTGCTCCCAGCAGGCAAACTCTGCCTGCCCAGCTCCCCCAGTGCCACCAGGGCTGGTTTGTCACTCACAGCCCCGGCACTGAGCCTTGTAGTGGTGAATAAAAACAGCAGCCTCACCTCTGCAGCTGGGTCAGGGCTGGCAAATCACTGCAGAAGGTTTGAAAGTGCTGCTAGCACAGGGTAAATAACCCATCTCATTTCCCAGAGCTGCCTCTGACAGCTTTCACTTCTGCTGACAGAACTGCACGTGGCCCTCAGGGCTGTTGGGAATGATCTGCTCCTGTTCTGCTCCTGGGCACCCACCACACAACCTGATTCCTCTCCTCTGACACTTCTCCCACTTGTCTCATTCCTGATTCCTTTAATACTGTGCTATCTATCCAGGGGATGCTTCCCACTATGTTTCTCTCAGTATGTGCTGATGAACAGATTCTGTTCCAGATATCTATTCATGCCCTACTCTCATTTTAACTTCAAAATATTCCTCTCCCAGAGGTTTCCTTAGAATAATTTCCCATACTCTAGAAAATCAGACAGGTTTCATTCTGAAAATCAGCAATGAATTTACAAGAGTGAGTCATCAGGTTTTTTAAGCAATAATTTCCATATAAAAGAGATAAGAACAATAAAAATTATTTCCCTTTGCAAGCCTGCCGGTGCAAATAGGAGTAAGAGTTTATGGAAATGTGATTTAATAAACAGATGTTTGTTTTTATTCCTATAGGTAACCCTCCTGCTACGGGTACAGGAACTTTGCACATCACCTTGGAGGATGTCAATGACAACGTCCCATCCCTTTATCCAACACTGGCAAAAGTTTGTGATGATGCAAAAGATCTCAGGGTAGTGGTTCTAGGAGCATCAGACAAAGACCTTCATCCCAACACAGACCCATTCAAATTTGAACTCAGCAAGCAATCTGGCCCAGAAAAGTTGTGGAGAATCAACAGGCTTAACAGTAAGATTATTGATTATTTAATTATTGTGTATTTATTCCTCCCACTCCTCCATCCCAGTGGCACTGTGGGACTTTAAGAGGAGTTTTGCATTAAGGCTTTGTAGGATGGACCCACTGCTGCTGCTTCACCTGTGCTGGGTCTGCTGGACCAGCTGCCTGTGACCAGAACCAGCAGTTCTGAAACCTGAAACTTCTTTTCTTGTTATGTTGGCTGAACTTTCTACTTTCAGTTTGCCGTTAATGAGGGGCTACTAATGACAGATAATTTAATTAAGATTACTGTATCTCATGGCACACAATTGGTTTGTACAAGATGCACAAGGCTTTGCTATAGGACAGCACGAAAGTTTTGCACGGGCTTTAGCAATGTAATTGAAAAACTTCCTAATTTTAAGTATTTAAACTCTTCACAAATAAAATACCCCAAAGCACTGGGACCTTACACAATTGGTAAGAGGATCATGAGATGGCAGAAGGTTTGTATGTCAAATTGTAGGCACAAAGTACAACATTTCTTCTTAATGTAGATTACTTCTATTTCTTTCTGGAATGTATCCTTTGCCACTCTCCAATCTTTTAGTTCATGTCACAGTCTCATAGAAAACGAGAGATGGATGTGATGGCTGCACCTGCCTGCAGGACAAAGGGGAGCAGCTGTTTTCTTGGCTATTCTCCAGACATCAAACCACCCCTGTGTTACCCCTGAAAGAATTACCACACCCACCTGGCTGCCAGGAGCTGCTGTGGCCCTCAGCTCCCCAGGGGAGCAGATCTGTGGATTTGGAAGGGGCTTGACTTCCTTTTCCTGCCCTCTCAGGGAAATTGTGGAAGTGGTTCAGTAGTGGTTCCTGTACTTCCTGGAAAGAAGGGTTATTTTTTCCCTTGGCAAGTAAATTTATGATCTCTTCTTGTCATTTTGGGGGTGACATGCCCCAGCATTTCAATAGTGTATTAGTTTTCACAGGCAATTTCTGCCAATAATTTGCAGACCAAATAATGCATTTAAATAAAGGGGCCTCTTACAAGTCATTCTTTTGGTGGGGTTTGGAATAAGTTTGTAATTAGATTTCAGCCCATGAAAGAATTTCAGTAGTGTCTCTTCCCTCCAATTCAATTATTTTGTTTTTTTCTTAGCGTATTCTCATTTTCTTCATTGATTTCCATGACTAACTGGCATGTCTGATGTTGCTTGCAGCTTCCTTCACCCTTCCAAGCAACCAGCCTTTGGTTAACTCTCCCCTCATCCTTTGCAGATACCCATGCCCAGGTCATCCTGCTTCAGAACCTGAAAAAGGCCAATTACAACATCCCCATCTCAGTGACAGATTCTGGAAAACCTCCTCTGACCAACACCACAGAACTGAGATTACAAGTGTGTACCTGCAAGAAATCCAAAATGGACTGCAGTGCAACTGATGCTCTCCACATCAGCCTGACCCTAATCCTCCTTTCACTCCTCAGTTTATTTTGTAAGTCTTTTGCTGAGCTGTAAGTAATGAACTGTTGTTTATCTGCTCATGTGTATTCTGCATCAGAAAACCCTCCAAGAGAGAAGTTAAATTCATACATTGATACCATAATGCTGTAATTTTGGGTTCTTTTTGCATGAGGGAATAGCTGTGAGAAAGGTGGGGGGAGGTGGCTTTTTAATAGCAAGAAAAAAAAGGCAATGAATGCCTGATTGTCAAATTAAGAAATAGAAGCAATAATTTTAAGAGGAATCAAAGGGAATCAGAGCTAACATATGATAAACTAAGAAGTAGCAGCTGTAGCAGCAGATTTGTGCAACGCTTGCTTTCATCTCTCCCCACTTGAATTCAATTCAAACCCAGAAAGAGGAGATTAAAAGTGTTCATGTAACAATGGCTGTTCTGGGTCACCAGGAAAACGAGGACTGTCTGCTTCAATCTATTCCTCCACATAAAATGTGCAAGTGACTGGAACATGAGGAACTTATTGAGATTCTGGGCTTAGAACCACCCAGAGCTGATAATCAAATGGCCAGTCTGGGTTGGAGGGCAGAGAGAACTAACAGGTAAAAGAAATTTCTGCTGTTTCTGAGAAAGCTTTCCAAATGAGATTTACAAAATTCCTAACTTGAATTGGAAGTGGGAAAAAAAAAAAAAAAACAAAAACCAAACAACCCAGAATGACTCAAAAGTAGGAATTCAAAGCCATGGAATCCACAATTTAAACTGAGTGTGTCCCTGGCTAGTCCTGTGACAAAATTTTTAATGCAGTGTTAGTTTTGAGTTTTGGCCTGTTTCAAAAGAATAGCTGTATCCTACAACTATGATAGTAAATTTGTTATTTAAAGGCTGTTACCTTATATTAACAGAACACAATTAACAGTCACATTGTATGGTGACTTAAAACCTGAGCCATGGTGAAAGGCCTGGTATTCTCCATGAGAGAAAACCTGCCACGAGGCAGGGGAGAGGTCAAGGCAGAGATCCTTTACACATCTGAGGCTTGCCTGTGCTCGGTTACACATCCTGTCCCTGTTTGCTTCTCCTTTTATCCCAAAAGGTTGGCATGAAGGTCGTTGTGAGCGAGCTGGTGCCAGCTAATGTTTGTGATGCTCTTTGAAGATGAAAAGGACTATATAAATGCTAAGTGCAAATTCCTGTTCTCAGTCTCAATCAGTGGCATCTAAAGTATCTGCCTTGGCTTCGGTTCAGCTGGTCTGGGTTTAGTCTCCTGGAACCAAATGCAAACTTCAGCTGTTAGGAGTAATATGTTAAAAATATTTGACAGGGTGTGACACCATTGCAGCAGTGATATAAATATGCAGCCCATTGATTCAAATATATTCTTGTTGCCACTTCATAAATGTTGCTGCTGCTACACTAGGCGTGACTTCCACCACTGGAATTACTTTCTTATCTGACGTGATTTGCACTTGAACTTTATTTACATTAATGCATCTGCTCAGAATACAATGAGATGGAGAAAAGCTTTTTACTTTGGAAAGTTGTTCTTTTCCTGTTGGTTCTTTACAGCCCTCACCAAGAAGTCTGATCATTTTCCTTAGGTTGAATTATAAAGCCACTTTTAAGTACTGGAAAGCACTTTTTGAGTTGCTCTTCTTGGCTCCAGGTGTTGCTCAGCTCAGCTGTGGGTGGAACACCCCCCAAGGGCATCCCAAGGGTGTTCCATGGCTGTCATTCCATCTCTGGAACTGTTACCCAGCCATGCCTTGCAAAGCCAGCCAGCCCCACAGCTCTCCTGAGCATTTTCCTCAGGTGTGAGGAGACAGAATGCATGGAGACAGAAAAGAATGAGGCTGGGAGCCAGTTAAAATAATGTGGTTCTGTGTTTGAACTTGTCTGGGATGTGCTGCTATCATCCCGTTCCCAATTCATTTCCACACACAGATTTTTTATAACCGTGATTAGCTCCATTGCAATGTTTTGTATAGTCCAAATATTTATCAGAGTAATCAAAGATTACGATGCCATAAAAACAAAGAGAACTTTAGTGCTTATTGAACAGATGAAACGTCCCATTTCTAGTGGCAAGTTATGGGTTTAATTTTAGCAAAAGCCCTTACGTGGCTCACTTTGCTCCCTGTGTTTGTGTTTTATGAGGCTCTTGTTCCTGGGAGGTAAATCCTTCAGTCAAATGAACTTTGTTACTCATGCCAAAGTATTTCTTTTTGTATTTGACATCTGGTGTGAGGATAGATAGCCCTCAGAAAGAGCTGCTCGTGGTAAAAAGAGCCCTGCATGAATATCTTTCCTATAGAAAACATCTCGGTATTATCATTTAAATGGTGCAATTATTATCTATACTTAGAATATGTGCCTCCTTCGTAAATCATGAAAGAAGTCAGATGTGGCAGATTTCTGAAGTGTCTGAGCACACAAGTGAAGAGCCTGATTAAAACTGAAATGGATGCAAAACCCAGCAGTTCCTCCCATTCTGGAGATATCCTACTGTGCTCCCTATATTGAGGGATAATGGGATACAGACTGCACAGTTGCCCAGAAGCCCCTGGGAAGGCAGATATGGCTGGAAAAAGAAAAATTTAGGAGCTCCTGGCAGCTAGAAATAGAAAATGTAAGATGCCAAAATATGTGGGCAGATTTGCACAACGAAACAAAGAGGTGGAATTAAAAGATGTTGAACACAAAGTTGATTGGGAAAAGGAGCATCTTTGTATATTTTTGTATTTAATCTAATTACCACTGGGATTTACTGAGGTCTGGAGTGCTGGAGAGTGGGCAGGCAGAGGAGTTTCCAAAGTTACAACAGGTAATGGTGACAAATATTGGGAAGAATATTGTCACTTGTCATTAAGGCAGACCCCGTGTTTAAGATGAGACTTCATGTGGTGGCATTTTGTCCTCTGTCAGCTTTTCCTTGCCATTACTGGAGACGAGACAGGACCAAATGTTCAGATATAATTCGGAATTTAGTAGTCCAGATTGAGGGAAAATACATGGGAAAAAAAAAAAAAGGGTTCTTTGTCAGGGAGGGGAGCTACAGCAATCGGTTCCTTGAGGGAGAGAGGGAAAATGCAAATCTGTCAGGAGATGTCTGGAGCTGCTCTGAGTTGTCCATGATGTCCCTGAGTGCTGCATTGCCTCAGTCAGCACAGCTAAACCTGCTCTGCTCAGAATTAATGTAAAAATGGGACACCTCACCACCACCAGAATTACAAACAGGTTCCCTCGATGATCTCAGTGAGAGAGCAGCTATAACATCCCACAGGGATGAGGGATGGAGGTAGAGGCAAAGCAAAACAAGCAAAAAACAAATTTGTGCATATTGCCAGAACAAAACCAGCAACAAAACCTCCCCAGGCCCTATGGGAGACTGAGAAAGAACCACTCTGGCTGGCAGAACTAAGCCTTAGATCTATTACAAATTATTTATATTATTATTAGTATTTAAAGGAGTATTTGAATTCTGGGCTTTTGATTTTATAATAACTATTTCACTTAATTGCATAATCATAGAATGGTAATTGCATTTCATATCTTCTTTTATATTCTACCAACATAAAAGACCACGCTAGATTCAAATGTGTGGAATGAAGGGAATAAAAGAACAACCAAAGGCACAATAGTAATGTCAGTAATATTTTACTTAAATTTCCTTGCTGTAAAAAGACTGGGATTCAAACACTTCATGTTGAAAAAACCCAATTTTATAATATTTTTTTTGACTATCAACCATGGATAAGAAGATTTTTTTTGTTCACCTGGCCAGTGGATTACAAAGCTGTAAGTTGACTTGAGCTGGAATAAGTAAAGTGTTCCATTCTTCTGAACAGAAAGTGAGGTGCCAGACTAGGGGGAAATGCTGCCTTAAAGAAATTAAAGAAGCTGGAGGTCTCTACATTGCAATTAATTTATTAAAGTCAGGGTGAAAGGCCTCAGGTGTGTTTGAAATGCAGAGACTTGCACAGATGTCTGTGCTGCAATTGCAAAGAAGCCTTAGAGATACCCCTGAATTTAATTTCCTATTAATTTCCACAAACTTTTCCTATTTAGTGCTGGCTGTTTCTCACTATATTTTTTTTTTTCTGATTTGAGGAATACAGCTACAGGGCCAATAGTGAAAATACAGGTGGATTTTTTTTTTTTCCTTTGAAAAGGATGTATTTATTATTAAACCACTAAAAAAAAAAAAAAAAAAGGAAAAAAACCCACACAGAAAAAAAAAAAAAAAAAAAAAAAAAGGAAAAACCAAACAAACAAAGAAAAAAAAAACCCACCGCCAAACAAATCGAATTATATTAACCTGGTGGATTTAAATTTCCATGAAGCTGGACAGGCAGAGTTAATCCTGCAGTGTTATCTCTCCCCCAGCTCATTTTTCAAAGCAACAGCAGCCCCTGTATCTCTTGTTTACCCCGTGTTATTTGTGCAGGAACATCAAATGGCTGAAAAGTGAAACAATGCATTCCTGAAAGGCACCAGAAAAGACAAATCAGAGCAGGTTCCAGATGGAACAGACCTTTAAGGTCACTGCTCTTTCCATTACCTGTGCAGATTTGTTACCTGCACATTCCCACTTTTCAGCCTTTATTTTGAGTTACTTGTTTTGGTTTTAAACAGTCAGGTTGCTTTTTTTTTTTTTTTTNTTTTTTTTTTTTTTTTTTTTTTTTTTTTTTTTTTTTTGCTTCGGGGCTCAACAATTCAGTTTTTCCAGTCGAATTTTTGGGTTTTCTCAAGAAAAAAAGGAAAAAGGTCATCCCTGTTCCACACAGTTCCAGAGAAAGGGTTCCCAATAGGTGAATTTGCTAAGACCAATACTTTTTGTTTGTTTCTTTGGTTTGGTGGTTTTATTTTTGCATTTTAGATTGTTTTATCACCTTTTAATCTTCTACAGCAATTTTCTACTTTTCAGAGCAGTTTATTTAAAAATAAGTTAAGAAAAAAAGATCAGTTTAATTAAAAAGACTAAGGAAGTCTGCAAGATACATTTTCCCATATCTGAGAAGTGAAATATCCCTATT